GGGGGGGGGGGAGGGACGACATAACATACTTTTGGGGAAGTCTACAATTTCTTGGAACTCTAGCTATATGACGCTTCGAAATGATGTTTCAAAATTGTCAAAACTTTTTGCCGTTACCGTTCAGGAGAAACCGCTCCTAAGTCAACTGCTATTCAAACTTAATCATAAAAAAGTGATCATGCATTCCTGTGATATACAATTCTTTTTTTTTAATTTCCGAGGAAACATTTAAGATAATTTTCGTAGTAACATAACTGTTAGGATGCAACTCATGTGGACACTATTATTTTTGTTTTATTTAATGCATGATGCTTGACTTGTAGTAAACCACTTCTCAGCATTTTTATCCAATATTCTGGCTAATCCTAGTTTGAAGTCTAAAACAAACAAACAAAAAAGTTCGCACAGAACTCAAAAATAAGCCATCAGAAGTTATTTTAGTTGAAAAAAACTGTCTCTGTTCAAATCTTGATTGCTTGAAAGTCATGAAGCCACTTTTATGACTAATGTTTACCCTATCCAATGTTAATGTTGTTTTTAATGTCAATTCTTCTACAGTGACTATTGATGACAAGATAGCGTATGATCAATACAGTTTCTGAAATCATCAACAGCTTTGTGCTATCATGAGATGTTGCTTTGCTGCCTTTCACAAGGAGTTGTAAAGTTTGAAAAACATCACAGCATTTCCGCGAAGTCATGGTTTATCGATACGATGTTGGCAGAAGGATTAGCACTTCAATAACGATTTTGAGATTTTAATTGTTGATTACTTTACGATTACGTATGTATTCCAATAAGATGTATTTCTGAGTGTTCTAGAAAATTTTGCACCACCTCTCCTTACTACAAGCCAAAAATTCTAGTCTGTACAAATTTTATATGATCAACGACACAAAAAACAATAACATTTTATCATCTTCGGTATGTGCCAAAGAAAACAATAACAATAAACGGTGCTTAGATCATTTTTCGTAGCAATTTGTTGATCTGATCCTCACGGTTTCCAAAGTCACCTCCTTCGACAAAATGATTGGTCTTCTTAGTCCAGCCTCCGGTAGGATTGTTGAGCTTAAAGGGCCACAAGAAGTTTGATGCAGCCTTGAAGTTAGGGCCAACATTATAAATTTCATGGACAAGATCCTCCATGCAGATGATATCGTGTTTGCCTGAAAAGGAAAAAAACTTCACTTTAGCATTTCAGGAAAATCGAAAAATAATTCGGGGATATAAACTAACCAAGAGCCTCCTCAATGATGTTATTATCAGTGATTGGAAGTCGTCGGTGGTTCACCTTGGCAAATCCACGCTTGTAAATCAGATCGTGGACTGTCTTGAGATTAGGATAACCCCAAGCTACGTATGGTTCGACAATACGGAGAAGGGGGAGGGTGGCCTTGTTCAGCTTGACGAAAACACCATTGTTGATCTGGCGCAGACGAAGGATTTGAAGAGCCTGAAAACGCGACTTTGGGATTTGGAATAATGGGGAAAGACATAAAGGATTTTTGATCATTGAAGATTTTCATTTATAAGTCTCAATTTAGGAATTTTTCGTGTATAACAAATTGTGTAAATGTAACAAAGTTCCCTTTCTAAACCTGGAGGAAGAAGTTGAACACATACATTGGCATATAACAGGTACAACAGGTTACTTAGGTTGCACTGTTTGAGTTTTTTTCTCTAATTTATAAGAGTAAGATATGAAAACCATTCCGAGAATCAACTATGGTTCTTAATAATTTGTTAATTTTCCTTTAAATTTTCCACTATACACATTCGAAGCTGCTGCACTGGGTAGTCCAACATGCTAACTACAAATTAGATTATATTGCATAATTCAGCTCTATTAGTTGTAAATTTTTTACAGATTCTGAGATCACAACAATTGTGCACAGGGACAGCTTTACTTGCTGATTACAATTTTGAGAATCATCGGAATATAATCGTGGATATTGTTGGTAATAGACTTTTTGGAAGTTTCTTCCAATAAAATCCCTTGTACTTGCTTCAGTATATAAAGTTATCATAGAAGATATTAATATACAACAGATGACGTAAGACAATTACATGAATCATGAACTGAAATAGCTGAGCAGAGTCTGAGTTTGAACAATATGACATATTCACTAACACTCGCTTAATTATTTTTTATAAAAGCATAAACCTATTCTGCTGATACCAAAAAAA